TAGGCCAACATAAACTTGTCAACGCTGCCCCGCAATTAATAAAATGGCTTAGATACTGGATCACTGCATTATATTCCTCAGCAACGAAGAGGTAAAATCTCTGTTTAAGTAACTAAACTCACAACGTCATTGTTTGTAGAGAGAGAGAGAGACGCACAGACGCAGGTAATTCACACACACAACTGTCATCTTCCTCTCTCTCGAACAAACAATCGATAATTAATTCAAATAAATGTTATAATTCTGTAATTCTATAATTCTGTAACTGACGAAAATAACCGTAATTTTTACCCATTCGGTCAAATATTGCACTGCAAAGAACAATACTAGTTTTAACTTGTCTATAACTTGGCAAATGACCATGGAATACACGGGATAATCAACGGCTTGCCGTGCATTAAAGGATTTTAGAAAAAAAACTCAACACCACCATCTAGTGGACTGTAAAGAAATTAATTTTATTATTCTACCAAATAGTATAATAAAAGATCGATACTTGATGTCCGTGTATCGATACAGTATTGCCGCGGAAAATATCGCGATACTATGCTGTATCGATTTTTCCCCCACCCCTAATATATATATATATATATATAGAATAGTAGTAATTGTTATGTCATTTATTTTGTTAATTTTAATTCAGAAAAACAAACATTGTCTCCAGAAAGGATGAGTTACTTTATTACAAAGAAATAATAAATAACAGTTTCAGCAGATTTTCCTGCTAATTCTCATTAATGTCCCAATGGAAAAAAAATCATAATGTGTTAAAACAGGTTGGGTTTCCTTTATATGAATTATAATTTGTTTTTGGTGAAATTTGCTGAAATGAGCCAATCGTTCGTCCCGTCATTGGGCTGTGATCTGTTTTAGATTCATTAAGTGCCGTTCTCCTTACACAATGTGATTTAATGCCTTTGCATTTGCACTTTCCACATGTTGTGAGATGAAAGTGTAAACAGGTTTCCATCCAGCCTCAGCCCGACTCTGTTTAATATCTATATTAATGAACTGGCATCAGCACTTGATAAGTCCTCTTGTCCTGGTCTGATCCTCGAGGGCAGAGAAATCAAATGCCTCCTTCCTGTATGCTGACGATCTTCTGCTCTTGTCACCTCATGAAGTAGGGCTACACCAAAGCCTCTCAGTTATAGAGAATTATAGTAGAGACTGGGCCTTACCAATAAACATGGAGAAAACCAAAATTATGATCTTCCAGAAAAAGCCTCGCCTTACTGACAAAAAATATAGTTTTACAATCGGGGGGACACTTCTTAATCATGTCACATGTTATAATTATTTGGGTCTCAATTCTGGTCAATTTGATCTGGCAATAAACACACACACACACTCACTCACTCACTCACTCACTCACTCACTCACTCACACACACACCAACACACTCACACACACCAACACACTCACTCACACACACACTCAAACACACACACACTCTCTCTCAAACACTCACACACACACACACTCACTCACTCACTCACTCACTCACTCACTCACTCACTCACACACAGTCTCTCACACTCACACACACACACACTTTCACCCACACACACTCACACACACACACACTCACCCACACACACACACTCACCCACACACACTCACACACTCTCACACACACACTCTCACTCACACACACACACACGCGCACGCACGCAGTGCGTGTGTTTGTGAGTGAGTGTGTTTGAGAGTGTGTGTGTGTGTGTGTGATAGTGTCAGTGTGAGTGTGTGTGATTGTGAGTGAGAGTGTGTGTGTGTGTGTGAGTGTCTGTGTGTGAGTGACTGTGAGTGTGACGGTGTGCGTGTGTGTGACTGTGAGTGTGAGTGTGTGTGAGTGTGAGTGTGAGTGTGACTGTGAGTGTGTGAGTGTGACTGTGTGAGTGTGTGTCTTTGTGTGAGTGTGACTGTGTGTGTGAGTGAGTGTGTGTGAGTGTGACTGTGTGTGTGTGTGTGTGTGTGTGTGACTGTGTGTGTGAGTGTGTGTGAGTGTGAG